GTGGTCTACAGTAGGTTGGTGAAAAATGTCTCTATTGTAATCTATGCAAAAGTTATTCTATTCCAACTGATGGGAGAACAGAACCACTAATGGAGGTATTGGGCCAGAACGAACTTTAAAATTTAAAGAATTCATCACAGACCCGTTACGCAGAGCTTAGGAGGTCTGTGCGTTCATCATCACCCTTCATATGCAACCTCTGAATCAGCTAATACATGTATAAGCACAGACTGACGGATGTGCTCTATATGATAAAGTGATTCCATACAGATCAGCTTTTATACACAACGTTTTTGACACCTCTGTTATCAAACAAGCGAAGAGCAGCAAATGAATCTCACGTTTTGTTTTGTTTGATAACAGAGGTGTCACTTTAGGAATGCACTATAATGATGATGATATGCAACTATGATCTATAACGAAAGCATTTGATTATTTTAGTAACACTCAGGATGTGGACACATTTACATACTGTATTATTTAGTGAATTTGTGTTTAAACACTCATATCCCATATATATTTAAATTGTACAGAAGCTGATCTGGGATCAGTTTCTCATATGGAGTGCGTCCATCAGTCAGTGCAGAGGTTCCATATGAAGGGTGATGATCAACATATGGCTTTAATAGTAAGAAAGCAGACATTTACTTTAATGAAATGAATAACTTGCAAAAAACACTGAGCTTTGTTTACTGCTTAATGTCACCAAATGTCTACGGAGAACTAAAAGGGATGTGATGGTGGGGGAAAAAATGGGTGGCAGAAAAGAAAAATGGATGAAAGAAAAACAATAGTGATCGGAAATTATTATTTTTTTAAGTTTTTGCATTCCCCGCAAAACTGTTGCTCGATAAACACTTCCTGTTCACCCCTCCCGATTCTGCAGGGATTGTCCCATATTTTACCATTCTATCCCACTATCATCCTATCATTAAGTATTTTCCGATATTTCTCCCATATTTTTAATCTTGAAAGAACGTTGAAATTAATAAAAAATGTCTTAGCTTTGTTGATCATCGCCCTAATATTTGTCAATCTTTTCCCCTCACAACTATCTAAAATTGGCATATACTCCAATGGTTTTACTGGACGTACGATGGGGTTAACTTTGTCTGGAAGATATATTTTATTGTTTTTTTTGTTGTTCAAATAGGTGAGTAGATTATTTCTAACCTTTATTCTGTGATTATCTGAGCTGTCCCTTACTTATTTATTTGTTAAATACATATTTATAATTGGTATTTCGAATGCATAGTTATAACTATACGCTGATGTGTTTAAACAGAAATTCATTACATCTTCTTATGCAACCTCTGAATCAGTGAATTAAAACAAAAATTGTCCTTAGTGTATGTGTGTGTATATGAGTGTACTGTATGGGTGTTTCCCAGTGTTGGGTTGCAGCTGGAAGGGCATCTGCTGTGAAAAACATGTAGGATAAGTTGGATAAGTAAAGTATTTTGAAAATGTCTGAGAATCAGCTAATTAAATTATCTAAAGAGAATGATGGTCATGGACAATATAGACAAGCAAACAGGTGGATAAGGAAATCAAGCAAAAAGGAAAAGTGCTGCAGCAAGGTATAGAGAAATGATTTTGCGTGTCAGAACGAGGTCGCACTCCCGCTAATGTTGTGCCAAAGTGCATGTTAGTGGAAGCACCCACGGAAGACTGGCTCAATGAGATGACAGGCTCAGAATTACATAAACAAAAGAGTGCGGGCGAGAGAGGCGGTGCTGTCACGCTGACTCTGTGTGATGCTGCCCGCTGGGTACTGGGAAGAGCCTTGTAATGGGCCAATTACCTATACAAACTGACAAATGGAAACAATAGGGTTGTCTCCTCATCCCTATTCTTTTCCATGCTTTTGGGGGGGGGGGGGGGGTGATCGATCCCTGTCAACTTAAACAACTGTAAATAGCAAATAAGCACATTATTGGGTTTGCTTCAGCTAATGGAAGTTAAAAAGAATAAGAAAAAAGGTTTGAATATTACTGAGAAAGGTTTCTGTCAGAGTGTGTTATCATTACTGAAAACGAACCTGTAATTATCATTACCCACACCACAGTAATGTACAGATCAAGCTCTCATGGGGAGAAAGCAAATGCCCCGTGCAGCTGCTGAATTCAACAAATCTGGTGCAGAATAAAGTCTCAGTTATGTTCGTAAGAGCCTATATGGTAATTCTCATTGGGAGACGTCATTTACCCACCCGAGAGATAAGATATCTATGGATGCACTCAAGCGGAGGTTAAATTAGATGTCTACAGCAGGGAAGAAGATAAAAGAGGAACAAAGTCTTTAATGTGCATTAGAACAAGTGGCTGCTTGAAAGAGCATACTAAAGACTTTAGAGCTAACATGAAATCAAAACAGACACATTACTGCAATACAAGCTACCATTTACTCACCCTTATGTCTTTAAAACCTTTAGAACTGTTTTTCTATGAGCCACAGAATTGTTTTGAATTACTGTATACCTCATGCAATTAAAGTAAAAGGGGTCTAAAGTTATTTCAGATCATTTAGTTTTTTTGTGGCATGCAGGTTTAGGATACCATAGGCAATGTAAGATTGCACTTTTCATTTTTAGATGAACCATCACTTAAATAAAAGGACATTTCTGAAGCTTGCTTGTCTGCCACATGATGTTAAACTAATCAGGCAGCTGCCAGTAATGGTTATTTCAGTGTATTCCCTCTTTTTAAACTAAACCCGTTTTTTGCTTTCTACATTCACTTGATTGAAGATGTTAAGAAATGTTAACCTTAGACACTATCAAGTGTTCTTTATGATTCTAAAATGCTTATACATGTCCATACGCTACCTGACAAAAGTCTTGTCATCCATACCAGTTGTATAAGCAACAAATATTAACTTAATTTCTAGTTGATCATTGGGATAAGTGGCAGATTATTGAATTAGATTTATAGTGGTTAGATTTATTGAATTGCATCTCTCAATAATCACAAATACTGCAGAAGAGCTGTTGAAACCCACATGGACCCAAGATTGTCACAGAAATCAGTCAAGTTTGGTGAAGGAAAAATCATGGTTTGGGGTTACATTCAGTATGTGGGCGTCCGAGAGATCTGCAGAGAGGATGGCAACATCAACAGCCTGAGGTATCAAGACATTTGTGCTGCCAATTACATTACAAACCACAGAAGAGGGCAAATTCTTCAGCAGGATAGCGCTCCTACTCATACTTCTACCTCTACATCAAAGTTCCTGAAAGCAAAAAAGGTCAAGGTGCTCCAGGATTGGCCAGCCAAGTCACCAGACATGAAAGTTATTGAGGATGTCTGGGGTGAGATGAAGGAGGCATTGAAGATAAATCCAAAGAATACTGATAATCTCTGGGAGTCTTGCAAGATCGCTTTCTCTGCCATTCCAGATGACTTTATTAATAAGTTATTTGAGTCATTGCAGAGATGTAGGGATGCCTCCAAGCTCATAAGAGCCATAAACAATATTAATTCTTTTTCCACTACACCATGACTTTATATTCTATACTGTACATTATTTCTGTATAATGACAGACTTTTGTCTAAGCGAAGTCAGAGCTTACTGTCCTAATTAAATAATTCAAAATCAAGGCATGACCATGTTTTATTTTGGTAAAATAAGCGTAATCTAAAAGTCTAAAACTTGGATAGGCGATAAGACTTCAGTCAGGTAGTGTAGACTAGGGTCATGCATTGAAACATTGACTAGGGTCATATGTTCTGTAAAGCTACTGTAATAAATCTACACCATTCACTTTTTCCTTCTGATATGCATGTATAAAACAGAAGTTTTTTTTTTTTATAATGCTGGTGTCTGATAAGGCTGTGCCTTCGCAGCTCGCAATCCGAGAACTGCGGCAACATTAATTCCTATGATCTTACTGCAAGGTCATCTGACTGCTTAATAAACCAGAACACTGGACCAAAGTTCTTCTCTCTGAGGACACATGCACTCTAATTGCAGTGAGGTCATAATTTTGTGTTACACCTACTTGGTTTTATTAAGTGGGTCCCCGTTGGGATAAAAAAAAACAGCATTTGTGCTGAGTGCAGCAAGAGCAAAACTCTTTTATAGAAATACAGATTCAACAGATCTTGGTAATGCCTGATAACTCAGAGTTTAATGTTGTGTAGCATTACTAGAATAAGCTGACTGTTACATGGCCTGTCATTTAGTCAAGCTTCAATGTTTCTCAAACCTAAGGGACCTGCAGGAAAATTGCACATTACTGAGCTGAATCAGCAGTGGTCCCAGACCAGTGACCTGTGGTACACCACGTACTGCCGGTCACATTCAGACTTTTGAGAGAATATGAGTGGCTCGTCTGCATCCTAATATTGCCCACTGTGTATGTGAGACTACAGAATTAAAAAGGTAACTCATCCAAACATATTTCATCATTAATTTTCACCAACCCTGTGTGACTTACTACCCTTCTGTTCTCAGAAATGTCTAACTTTCATTGCTGGACTAAATCAGCTGAAACATCTTTCAAAACATATATGTGTGGTACATTAAAAACAGATTAAGATACACTTTTATGGGTTCGACATAGAATAAAGACTGTATAACAGTGTTTTGGTTTTACTTGAACCCCTGGGGAATCTGTCAACTACTGTGGATGAAGTAGCTAAAACATTCTCTATTATCTGGTTATTGATTTTTGATACAGCAGCAACAGGAGACAAAAAGACCACTCAAACAGGAAGCGTTTGCTTCTAATGTAGCAGCCTCTTGCAGACAGGTCTATTTTCTTTTTAAGCCCTGTGGGTTGTGGGCTCTGACGAGGATTTATTTTAAAATAGTTGGGCTGCTGCGGTCAGGCCATGCTGGTGTGATGGATTTTTTTGGGGAGGGTGACAGCAGCAAGACTTTGCCTCCTTCACTTGAGGTCATTTCAGCTCAACTGAGGCTTAAGGTGTTGACAAAAGGGTGAGATGCTATAACATAACTGATAGTAATAAACCCACACACTGCGAGAAGACACTGACCTCTCCTTGAAATCCAGAAAGATCTTCCCCAGGCCATTGCCCCCACTCACCATGGTCAGGTCAATAGCCCTCAGCAGAGCAAAATGGACTCTGATAATGTCCTGTGAAAATAAAGGTTTGCCAGTTGATGTTATTTATCTGTTATCTGTACCACACTGTTTTGCCTTCATTTGGTTTGAAACTGAAAAAGTTAAGCTACCTGTAAAATGTTGGGAATAATGGATGTAAAAGTGGAGCACAGTAGATGACAACTCACCTCTAAATTTACAAATATAGCCTCCATCTCCTGTGGTGTTAACACTTGCTTCAAGGGGATCATGTAATTCTAAAAAGGTAAAACAGAGGGGACAAACTCAGAAATAAATCCACAAGGCACAATCAAACACAAGGGGCTCTATTTTGACGGTCCATGCGCAAAGCGCAAAATGCAGGGCGCAAATGCTTTCAGGGCGTGTCAGGATGCGTTTTTGCTAATTTAAGGACGGGAAATCTAGGGTTGAGTTTATTTTCTTAATGAGTTATAGGTGTGTTTTGAGAATAAACCAATTAAGAGTCTCATCTCCCATTCCCTTTAAGAGTCAGCTGCGTCGTGCCAAGAGCGCATTCGCTATTTACAGGACGCAAAGTAAGTCTAAGTGGAAAAAATGAGCATTTCACACGCAAACAGTTAACAGTTTTTTAATAGAAAACTGTTAAACAGAGCATCTACTGCGCGAGAATGAGAGATAATGGAACTACTTTTACTTTCGCTCTTGGATAGGGAAACCTTTACGCACAGACATCAGTTAGTCTATAAATACATAATTTTGTTTGTTAAGCGCAAATATTTGTTTTAAAACTATTTCTAAATTCAGTTCTAATTTCCAGCAAACAAATAAATGAATAATAATAGCAAAATGTGTTTAAAAACCTGAGTTATATCCTAAAACACATGCTTTGCCCCATATGGTCTAAAACCTGACAGGTGGGCAAATCTAAGCTTGTTTTTAATAAAACAAATATACATATGGATATAATAAATAATACTGCTAAAAATAATATTATACAAAAGCAAATTGTTATGAATGAACTGAAAAAGCCTCCCGAGATGAAGAAGACATAAAAGCAGTGATTTTTCATATTTATGTAGGCTAGAAAATAATATGTTTTGTAATATTTTAATCCTTTATATTTATATTCTATATCTATTATTATTATATCCTATATATATCCATTTTATCAATTTTTTCATATGTAAAGATATTTGTCTATTGCTCTCTTGTGTGTATTAAGCAGTGCGTAAGCGCTTGAGTTTAGACCGGGTTAGTTTTGGTCTAATGAAAAATCTATTATAGATTCTCAAAATAGCAACGCGCCAGCGGTCCGTCTCAAAACGCCTTCCTTTTTAGACCAGAGCGCCTATGGGCACAAAAATGAGCGCTAATGCATTTGCTATTTAAACAGCGTAGCGCAACGCCTCAAAACGACTCTTGCGCCAAGCTTAAAGCACCAAAAGATTACTGCGTCACGTCTTGCGCCACACTGCGCCGAGTGTATGATAGGGCCCAAGCAATTAGATTTACACCTTGCTGTGGTTTGGTAATTGTTTTTGACCAGCAAAAGTCAAATACTTGTCTAGCGTGGCTGCAGGTAGGCTGTTCTAATATAATAAACTCTGAGAAACCCTGGCAAACGCATCTATTTGTTACAGTTGTAAAGCAGAAAGTGATTTCAGAGCAATCCTGACACATTTGTATTAATTAGGAAGAAACGAAACAAGTGATAATCAGTAAACAAAGCCTCTATCTTGGATATGAAATCCGGACGACCCCCTTACTGTTTTGACAGCAATTCATCACCTCTAATAACAGTACACTGGACTATTTTGCTCCACACTTCAAATTCTGTGTGCTGTGTTTGACAGAGCAATTGAAAACAGGCCAGCCTTAAACATCACACATACACGTTTGTATGATTTGTACATACAAGCGTGAATGCATGCAATAACCCCAGGGTGGGATCTTGTGCCAACAGTATTGATTTACCAAACAGACATTCTATCTCACTTCTTAGTTAGCACATGGCATTGCTGGCCTCTGAATGACCCCTGAATCTGGAGGGCAAAGAGAGGGCACACATCAAGAAAAAAAATGTTTTAGCCTTTATATGACTGTATGACTTTTTTTTAAATATATGCAGACTGCTATGATTTCAGTCACATGAAAAGCATGAATGTAATGCAGTATAGGTTTCATGATTTTATTTAATTAGACCAGTCTTTTTAATGAATACACTTTAATTTATATATTAATACAGTGCGTCAACTGAAATTAAAACAGAAACAATAGTTTAACAAAAATAAAATGAATTTCAGAAGGCTATATATATTTATGATTGGCCTTTTAAAGGGCACCCATGTTACCTCTTTTTTAAGATTTAAGAGAAGTCTTTTGTGTCTCCAGAATGTTTGTGTAAAGTTTCAGCTTAAAACACCCATCAGATTATTTATTATAGCTTTCAGAATATTGCCATTTTCTGCTTTGAACACAATGTAGCTGTTTTTGGCACTGTGCCCATGTGCCTGTCAGAGTGTACTTTAATCTTAGCCTTGGGTGCGTCAGATAAACAGCACATTGACAGACATGAAGAAAGCAAATCTCACATGACGCTTGTGAGAAATACTACAGTACGAACTTTACCAATGATTTTTTGATGTATTTGTTGTGGAGTTAATCCAATCCTTTCTCCGACAACGAGTCACACACAATGTAGTTAAAAAGTTTACACACATATACACCCACACAACGTGCAAGTATAACTTTGCACTGTATTTTCATGGCAAATGTGACAGGATACATGTTAATATCTACTGCTGTATGGATATCCTTTATGTTTATATACAAAATAAACCTGATTTAACATCCGCAAACCGTTATTGAAGCGTCTTCTTTTATAATTGTACTGACATTATGAGGCTTTGGTGATGATTTACAGAGCGATTTTACTGTCCTTACAACAAAGATGCACTGTATTAAACGTTTTAAACTTGTAAAACTCATTCTTGATCACATTTGATGATGATTGATGATCACAGAGAGCTGAACAGATCTTAAACCCCAGTTGCTTTGCGTATGTCCTGTCTTGTTTATATGATTATATGCATTACTATGGAGACATGTTTATATGCGGCTGTCAATCAACTGGGTGGGTATTGAAACTGCACTCCAATATCAAGTTGCGGTGGGCCTAAAAAAAGGTAGGGATTTGAATCTTATTTTAACGTGAGGAAATTAAAAAGAGACTTATTGTCTTTATATGACCCCAATATGGCTGTGGACACACTATACCTACACAGTTCTGTCCAAACAGCTTCAAAAAGGTTATTTTCATCATAGGTGCTCTTTAAATTAATTATATAAAATTCTTTATTTTACAAAAAAAAAAAAAAAAAGAAAACACAATCTAAAAACAATAGTTATAATGTCAATAATGTTTGACATTACAACAATATAAAGGATTAAAAATTGACATTAATGTAAAGAATTAGCACTTAATCATCAATAAATAATTAATAAAGTAATCTAAATATAATATTATCTAAGCGAGCTTGTTTAACGTGCAGTACAGATTTATTTCCCATCAATATTTCTTTCTTTGGAATATATTGTATGATTGATTTGAGCCAAATAAGCATTTATAAAGAAAATGGTTTCAGATTGAATTTAAGATTAACTTCAAAGAATCTGAATAATACGAAAGGAATACAGCACCAGGACACTTGCCTCCTAGGGGCTCAGTTCTCATCTTTTGTCCTATACTCTCTCCATCTATTTTTGAGTTACCTCACTGTCCTCGGAGGACCCTAGTAAGACCTTGACCCACTTCCAGACCTTCAATTCCGCTCTCCCCAGCTCCAAAACTCAATGCTTTTCCCACTCACCTTCTCAATGTCCTCCAGTGTCTTGTAGTATTTTGCCTCAGTCTCCTGAATTTCCACCAAGCAGCAGTTCCTCTTATCATCTTCAGTCATGCCCATTTTCTATTATGGGAACAAGAAAAAAAGACACAAATTATGTTGGTATTGTCCCGCAAGAGACCAGCTCAGCACCTTTAAACACCTGTGCAAGGTACCAAACTGTTATTTAAAGGAATTCAGGTCACAATCAGGATAGCCAAAGCACACTACAGTAAAAGACAGAGGTGGACGAAGAGCATTTTACAACAAACTCTCAAGGGTAATGCTGACAAGGACTGTAGGATAAAAAGTTGAATCTTGCATTCATTCAAAACAACATACACATTTAAGTCAAAAACACAAAAACAACTGCAGGAAAGCCATAATAAATAGGGTTTTGATGAAGACTTAACGAGGTCAATTCACATGACAATAACAACAGAAAATGATCTAACAGAAGGTGATGCATTTGATTAAGTCTGATCACTAGATATTGGTGTAATGCGAGTGGGATGTGAGCTTGTTTAAGAAAGTGGCGATAACACTGGAAGAAAAGAAACGCCAGCTGGAGGCCAGAGCTGGAGTGAACACACATTTGAACATCTGGGTCTGGCAGTGCATGAGGCCAAAGCAAACCTGCCCACATCCAGAGAAATTCAAGACCACAAACAATTGTTTCATTAGAGTGAAGGGGGGAAAAATGGAAAGAAAGAACAATGAAGAACGCCCTTAGCAACACTGAAAGCAGACAGATTCGGGTAAGGCAAATTCATCTATAACTGTTCAGGACTAAGGGATGTATGCATATTTTAAAGAGGTAGACTCTGGATACCGAGTGGTATGAAGAAAGATCAAATTTGCAAAATCACAAAACAGTTCTGAAAGCATTATGTCTGGGTGTCTGATGCTATTTTCTATGTTTTCTTTCCTTCGAGTTGCTTTGTGTTTTGTTTTGTATGTGTGTGTGTGTGTGCATTTCTCTGTGAAGGCGGGACAGTCTGAAGAAGGGATTTCCTCCCTTGTGGGTTTAAAATAACCTAACATTAGCTCACTTGGTGAGACAGCACTCTCTTTAGCTCAGATGGACATGTAAGCACTGAGTCACCTTCTCCTCCTTTTTCATTTTTTACAAAGGAAAATGCTCCAGCCATGAAATACATTCAGCTGTATTTTTTTCAATTGAATGATGAAATGTTTAAGGAAAATAGAATACCTAAAATACAATAATAATAATAATTATAAATAATCAGAAATGGCCTGACATCATAACAGACGTCAATCCAAACCTGCATGACTTTGTCATCCATAAAAAAAAAAAACTAAAAATCTGGTTGGATGCAGAATGTTCTTGCAGCTCTTTTATAAATAATATTAACAGAGGCCACGTGCTGTAATTATCAGAAAATGACACAAATGGTATTATAAAAGTACCACACAATTAGTTCAAGTTAGCTATAAGCTTGTAAAATTAAAATTTTATTGCTTTGTTTTGATCAATTCACTATACATACATAAAGTGTACATTCAAATTTGTGCTTCATGTCCATGAAAGAATTATGATTCACCAACATTTCTGTACTAAAATGCATTCAAAATTTACAAAAAGAAGTATCAGCTGAAACCAGGCTTGCGCAAAAACCACATACTTTTGCCAACCCAACAATCAGTGTTACGCAATTGTGTCATATATCACAACTATAATTACTGTATATATTATGTTTAGCTAATACTGTAGTTACTATTGAGTGATTCGATTTTTACATTACAAAATAACTTCATTTAAATGTAAAAATGTCTTATATATTTTGCTTCTATATATATATGTGTATAAAAGACTATATTTTATATTAAAGTTTAGCTATATCGCAATATTTAAAGAAAAGCTGCATTAAATCTTGAGCTATAAGGTTTCTTGGAAATAAAGGTGTTATACACTCACCGGCCACTTTATTAGGTACACCTTTCCTACTGCTGTTTAATGCAAATTTCAATCACATGGCAGCAACTCAATGCTTTTAGGCATGTAGACATGGTGAAAACGATCTGCTGCAGTTCAAAGTGAGCATCAGAATGGGAAAAAAGGCAATTTAAGTGACTTTGAACGTGGTACGGTTATTGGTGCCAGATGGGCTGATCTGAGAATTTCAGAAACTGCTGATCTACTGGGACTTTCAAGCACAACCATCCCTAAAGTTTACAGAGAATGGCCAGACTGGTTTGAGCTGATAAAAAGGCAACAGTAACTCAACCACTCGTTACAACCGAGGTATGCAGAAGTGCATCTCTGAAGGCACAACACCTTCTACCTTGAGGCAGATGGCTACAGCAGCAGAAGACCACACTGGGTGCCACTCTTGTCAACCAAGAACAGGAAACTGAGGCTACAATTGCAATTTGCACAGGCTCACAAAAATTGTACAATAGAAGATTGGAAAAATGTTGCTTGGTCTGATGAGTCTCAATTTCTGTTGCAACATTCGGATGGTAGGTGTGGGGATTTTTTTGGCACAGTTGTGGCTTATTAGTACCAACTGAGCATCGTCTCAAAATCACAGCCTACCTGAGTATTGTTGCTGACCATATCCATCCCTTTACGACCACAATGGAACCATCTTCTGATCACTACTTCCAGCAGGATAACATGCCATGTCATAAAGCGAGAATCATCTCAGACAGGTTTCTTGAACATGACAATGAGTTCAATGTACTCAAATGGTCTCCACAGTCACCAGACTCAATCCAATTGAGTATCTTTGGGATGTGGTGGAATGGGACATTCGCACCATGGATGTGCAGTCGACAAGTTTGCAGCAACTGCATGATGCTATCATGTCAATATGGACCAAAATCTCTGAGGAATATTTACAGTAGTACCTTGTTGAATATATGCCACAAAGTTCTGAATGCAAAAGGGGGTCAAACCAGGTACTATTAAGACGTACCTAATATAGTGGCCGGTGATTAACTGGCTTATCAGAGGTCTGTATAACAAGTGTTGATTGTTCTTGAACTTCTGTAGGTTTGAGAATGACACTTGCCATTGCATTATAAATATGAATCGCAAACACATTTTTAAGCGTCTCATTTATTAACCCTCTGTCTGACATCAATTATCTCCACATGGATGTTTAAATGAGCAAGTGCATCTTTTGGGGCCCCTGTCACTAAATGCTTTTGCTGTATAGAAAACAGCAGGGTAAAACAATCTTCAAAACATCTTGAGGGTAAACACAAGATGGCAAAAAGTGAATTGTTGAGCCACCTATTCCTTTATTAGATATTTCTGTGAAATTGAAAGCAAACGTGAATGGGCCTCTGGATCAGCTCTGCAGGTTCTTCATATATGAGTAAAGGGCTCAAGGGCGTACACACATTTAAAGGAAAGGAAAGAAGAGCACTCAGGGAGCGTTAGAGAATTATGTGCGGTACAGCATGACACTTACCTGCATGTATCTGATCTGCAGCAGTAAGGAGGCAAAGTAGCAAATGTAAGCAGAGCAAGAGAACTCGCGCACAGCCGTGGGAAAATGACAGGAAAACAATCCATCTATAACCTCTCTCACACACGCACCAATGAGCGTCGTCCGTATGGTGGCTCACTCACCATAGGCTGTCTAACCTCCACCTTGATGATGTCCTCGTAGATGTCGTCCCCATCATCCTCGCAGGGGACGCAGTCATAGATGTCGTCCTCTCCCACATCATGCTCACTGCGCAAGAAAAAGGACACAAAACAAGCAGTGGGTTAAAATAAAGAGACACATTATAAGAGATTAATGAATACACTGCAGAACAGCATACAGTATAGGAACACAAGGGCTATTTTTAAAGCTTTTCTATGTTTTTTTAAACAAAAATGTTTAGTTTTAGGGGTGCAACGGATAACGGTTGATCCGTGATTCGTACAGATCACAAAACATGGTTCGGAACACACATGACCTGGGGTATTATAACATTTTTACAGGTAGATTAATCCTAAATTTGTAACGGTAGCAAAGAGATCGCCTCTCACGTCATTCAAATCACATGTAGGAAAGCATTTAGGCTTTTCTGTAAAATATAATGATGACGAAAGAAGTTGTGGTAGGTTATTCAGGATGTGGTGGGTTTCTTAGGTTATTAAAGGTGTTTTCTGTCACTACTTGTTAAGTCTGCATTATTGCATTCAGTGTAAGCTGCACGATTAATCATTTAAAAGACTGGCATCTCAACATCCACACAATACAAATGATAAATGACGGTGATTTGCATATGTTTAATTATCCTTCAATTCGCTGCATTAAAATCTGAAAATACAAAAATCAATAAAGAGAAACTTGAGTCTTTTGAGTTAGTTATAGTTACAGCCAGGTAACAGAGAAGTACTGGGATAACGGTTTAGAATTTAAATAAAAACCACTGATGTTTATGGTTCAGATTAAAATCACTATAATGTGCATTTAACGATGCTCAAAAATGACCAGCCATTAAAAAAAAAACACTGACTACTTCTTCAAAAATGATCCATCTAGCAATGAAACATGAAGTTTTATGAGTGAATAACAGAATCATTTATTAAAAATTTGACTAAAAATAGTAATAAGTTGTACAAATTATAATGTCAGATTTATACATTAAGTGTTATCAGCAACATTTTTTTACAGAACTGAATATTTTACAATTTATTTTTATTAAGCTAATTATTTCTTCATTATTATTTTATTTTTATTTACTGTTGCACTAAAGTCCAAAAGTGAAGAATTGATGTTATTTATTTCTTGATTGTTTAAGCTACCTCACAGAAGTGCTCTGTTTGATAAAAAGTTGATGAATGTTAAAATAGGGTGATTTACTGTAAATAAAAAATAAGGAACATTCTGGATCTGTTTCTTCACTCTTCTTTATCCTTTTTTCATGTATTACAGACGTATCGGATTGGTTTTCGGTAACGGATACTCAAAATAAAATGAATCTGACTCAAGGGCAAAAAAACCTGATTGGGACTTCCATAGATCTAATTTCTGTTTGTTAAAACCAAAAGTGTCTTGCAATACCCTTTTTTGGCTGATCCAAAACATGGTCCCATCCATGACTAAAAAACATAATGTGATCCGAACTGTGAGATTTGTGATGCGTCGCACCACAAAACCAGCAATTACTAAATTAATCTTTAGGTATAGCATACTTAATTGCTCAAAAGTGACAAATGTTTTAAAACGTTACAAAGAACTAACCCAGTTCTGCTCTTTTTTTGACATCGCTTCAAGCAAAAATGAGATAATGTAATAAAAAAAAATTAGAAAGTGACCCTCAAACAGTCTGAAGACAAATTTGGATTAACATGAAAGAGATGATATCGATTCATCTCATCGCTCCTGGTTAGGACACAATGCAAAGTGTTGGAGACAGAATTATGACATGTTTGGTATACGTGTCAGTGTCCTCATATATAGTTTGCGGCACCCATTAACTTGCGTACATGTCTATCAGACATCAAACGAGCCCTGAGAATACAGCAATGGCATCCATCACCTAACACCCTGACGCTGTTCTCTAAGGGGAGAAAAAGAACGGCAAAAATAAAGTGAGATGACTTCGCAGAAGGTGTCCTGGTCCCAGCTGTGTTCTCACAGCAACAATCAAATCAGCCATCCATTCCACCCTAAGAGAAGAACTCGCTCTCAATGACACACACACACCAGACAGCTCTGCAACCAGACAGCAACAAGTTCTGTCCTCACTTCTGCTGATGTGAACAATTTCAGGCTAAAACAAGTGTGAAAAACTAATGCGGCTTGAACTCCTGCTCAGGAGCTTAGCTTTCTGCATCATCGGCTCAAGAAGAACAGACATTCATCCTTCATTTAGTCCTGCCCTCCAAAAGAAGAGATGATAACAACACTCTCATTTGCTTTTATACTACGATCAGGGATTCTTCAGGTTTCACAAAGTTAAATTTAAGACTTTAAGACATTTTTAAGTCCATAATGAACAGAAATTTAGATCTATGCAGAGCTAAATACAAAAGATTTTTCTTCAAATTATACAATAATAATAATTTTGTTTGAATATGTTTTTAATAGCTTTTAAGTATATTCATTCACAAACCCCATAACACTTACTAAGAATAGAAAAAACATAGCTGTCAATTACTTCAATCTATAATAATAATAATAATATTAATAATAAGTTAATAATAAATAAAATGGGGCGAAGCAGTGGCGCAGTAGGTAGTGCACAGCAAGAAGGTGGCTGGTTCGATTCTCGGCTCAGTTGCCGTTTCTGTGTGGAGTTTGCATGTTCTCCCTGCATTTGTGTGGGTTTCCTCCGGGTGCTCTGGTTTCCCCCACAGTCCAAAGACATACGTTACAGGTAAATTGTATAGGCTAAATTGTCCGTAGTAAATGAGTGTGTGTGTGGATGTTTCCCAGAGAAAGGTTGCGGCTGGAAGGCCGTAAAAACTTGCTGGATAAGTTGGCGGTTCATTATGCTGTGGTGACCCCGGATTAATAAAGGGACTAAGCCGACAAGAAAATGAATGAATGAATAAATAAAATGTAGGTCAGGTCAGTAGCCTTAGCAGTAAATAAATGGAGAACTTTTAAGAAAATGTTACTGTAAGGAAAGTATCTAAATGCTGTTTTTGAATCAAAAGTTAAACATGTTATTGAGATGGATTGTTGTTGATTGTAGGTTGGTGTTGGTGTTAATGGCCAGATTGGGCAGCTATACATGAACAAAGAAAAAATAAGATCTGTTAAAAAAGATTTAAGACCTAAAACACAACATATCAGTACTTCAGTTCAAGACTTTTTAAGGCCTGAAATTAAGCCTAAAATTATTTTGAGATTTAACATATTTTAAGACCCCGCGGATACCCTGTAAGAAGCAGCGGTATATCTGCATAAGTCTAGCAGATAACAATGAATTTCTTTTTACCATAGAGATCGTAATTAGCATTCAACAGAATGTCTGACTGTGCTAGGATCCTTTTGATGGCCATATTCCCACTTTAACGCATATTAATAAGCCAGTAAGAAGATTACTTACATGCTATAATATACCGCGACTCTGCTATTATACAACACTCATTATCAGAATGCATTGCAATGCAAATGTAGGCTAATACTAAGGAAATGTTTTGCATGGGGAATAAAAACAGAGAAGAAATTACTGGTCCACATCCTGCTGGCCTCGGGCAGTTTGTGTGATTTGATTTGCCGCAGCAATCTCTTGCCAAACGATTTATATGTGACACACTAAAAGTTAATATGTGGTCCATTTGTTTCACAGAATACAATATTTTCCTGCTGAGAAAAAAAAACTGGTTTGCTGATCATTTTGCTGGGTATGCCTGTAGGTAAACTTACTGCCATGCTACACAAACTGGGAGATTCTCTAAAAAGCAGCTCAAATGAGCCAAGATGAGCAAAGCAGCCTGGTTTAAGTCAGGTATTTTGAGCAGGGTTTTGTTAGACATATTAGACTAGCTGCTAAATCCAATGCACAGCAATACCCAGCACCTGTGTCAGTAAACTACATAAATATTTAAGCTTTAACTATGTTAGTTCATATCCAGAGTTGTTTCACTGAATCATGAGAAAGATCTGGCATAGACAGATGGAAGCCAGCCAGAGCGAGGGACCAATAGTTGGAGGATTGTCAGCCTGGCAAGAGTTGCTGGCTGTTAATCCATCTGCGTGACCTTCTATACCTGCACACCCAGAACAGCTGCCTAAAATATAAACTAGAAAAACAGCATCACAGTTTCATAAATTTGACTTTCAGAAAACATTATATGATAAAAAAATGTTTCATTTATTTGAGTGACTGCAGAAATTGAGACTTTACATGGCAGGAAACCTTTTGCCAGTAAAAAATTAAAACAATTAAATTTTTAACAATAATTTTTAAGTCCAAAGACATGCGGTATAGGTAAATTGGGTAAGCTAAATTGACCATAGTGTTTGAGTATTAATGAGTGCGTATGGATGTTTCCCAGTGATGGGTTGCAGCTGGAAAGGCATCTGCTGCGTAAAACATATGCTGGATAAGTTTTCGGACCATTCCACTGTGGCAACCCCAGATTAACAAAGGGACTAAGCTGAAAAGAAAATAAATGAATAAATGAATTTTATTTATTATGACATTGTTATACACTGTTTATTTTCAATGGGTTAAAGTAAAAAAAAAAAAAACGTTCAAAGCAAACTTTAATGCCAACTAAACTTTTCTTCAGAAAAAAAATATATTATCAGACATACTGTGAAAATTCTTTGCTCTGTTAAACATCATTGGGAAAATATTAAAAAAAGGAAAAAAAATTCAATGGAGGGCTAATAATTTTGACTTCAACTGTATATATTTGAGTGTGCATGTGCCAAATCCCAGACATTTTAGGAGATTTAGAAACCCTGGCCAGACAACTTTTTTACGTCCCAAAAAGGGGTGTCTCTGTGGCTCTGCAGAGCAAGTAAGACTTTCTGTGGGAGTATTGATATGCACAAAACAAAACAGGTAAACGAGAGAAGATTTTAAACTACTTAATTGATCTTGGATGCTTTTTATATTAAAAAAAAAATGTGTCACTAAATATATTTGGGGGGCTGTTAATATCCCTGGGCAGTGGGCACCAGCCCAAATAAAGTATTTGTGTGGGAAGCTCCTCTGCTGCTGTTGCCAATTTGTTTGAAATTTAAATTCTTTAATTTTTAATGATCAGAGATGCTCG